TTAAACTCGGAAACCCACTGCTTAACGGTTGAATATGACGGGGAGGATGTCCCCAGTGTTGAGTCCATCTCTTTTTTAATTTCCTTCGGCGTTAACCCCTTCAAATAAAAGTATTTGATGACAGCACGATTTTCCTGCTTTTCCATTTTTACGAAAACCACAGAGGCGTCTTGTTCAGCGTGCTGTCAAACCTACACTAGCAAGGAGATCGGGCTGAAACTATAGCTACAAGCTATCCAAGGATGGTACTATAGAATGTCACCTCAAGGTAGGCCTAGTGGCGTCATCTCTTGGTTAGGCCGGAAACTTATCAATCCACCCTCGTATGTTTTCGAGTGAAAAAAGTTGTTTAAATTCTTTTGTTAGAAAAAATGTAGTTACCTAAATTGCGTGAGATTAAACATAATTAAACGAAAACGACTAGCTATTCGAGTTGGAAACATAGTAGGGTGTCCATACACAAGGGTTTGTTATTTCATTATCGACCTCCGTTTATCGACAAATCGGTCATTTCCCCGGCACGCCAACGTCGTCAACTGTTCACTTCCTCGACAAACCTTCGTACCTATATTATGTTATAAAGCAATAGAATATTAGCACGCGACTGAATATTTATGCATATGAAATATATGATACAAGCAGTCCTACAATATAATTTATCCTTAAAATACTGAAGTTCAGTCCTGATGTAATCGTAACTGGCTGATTTCGTACATACGAGGTCTGTTCAAAAACTATCGCGAATTTTGTATTTTTTCAAAAAATCGGATGAGTCAAGCCGACGCTGACGAAGCTACGTCCCTTCCCCTCCCACTGCGCCACAGTATAAATATCAGTGATCAGCCACCTCTCCACCACCGAGCGGCATGGCCTAGAGGTCTAGACCATTGCTTCGCATTCGGGAGGACGCCGGTTCGATTCCGGGTCCGTATGCCTTGGTCCAAGTTTTTCTGTGGTTTCCTTGGATCACTTAGGCAAATGCTGAGGCAGTAATATTCCACAGATAATCTTTCACTCTCTTCTATCTTCATTTCGTCCGTCTCATCTTTCTCACCCGAACCACCACCCACCCATTCCCACGATTCCTGAAAGCAGGCTGAAGAGGGCCTTCTGCCCTACCTTCCGGCATAGTCTGAGGTACTGCCCGCCCACCAGCATTACTGGCTGGTTTCAGCTCTCCACCCAATCGCTGTCGAGACTTCGAGATATAATCTACGTTCACGTTGTCAACGCAGCACCACCACTGAGGATGTCAGCCGCAGTAGCTGACGAAACGTCTGGACGGAATAGTTCACTTAGACCACGGCTCTAAAGCCCGAATCTTCATCCTACTATTTTCAAAAATTATTTATTTATTCATGAATATCTATTTTGTTCCCTTCAAGTAATTCTTACCAGATATTATACACTTGTGCCAACGTTTTTTCCAATCCTTCCAAACTTCAAAAAATCATTTTTTTGTGATCTTGTTCAGCTCCTCTTTCGATGCCGCCTTTATATCCTCGATCGTAGTGTACTGTTGTCCTTTAATGCTCTTCTTCAGTTTCGGGAATAAGAAAAAGTTACAGGGAGCCAAATTTAAGGAATACGATGGCTGCGGCATTATTAGTGTGTTGTATTTGGCCAAAAATTCGCGCACAAGCATCGATGTGTGAGCAGGGGCGTCATCATGGTACAAAAGCCAATTTTTGTTCTTCCTCAAATCCGGGCGTTTATGGCGGATTGCTTCGTGGAAATTGTGCATAAGTTGCTGGTAATATTCCTTATTGACCGTTCTACCATGTAACAAGAACTCATGATGCACCACGCCCCTACAATACAATCTAAGAAAACTGTAAGCAAAAAACTTTCACATTTGACCTAACTTGGCACGCTTTTTTCGGTGTTGGCTCGTGCGACAGCTTCCTTTGGGACGATTGAGCTTTGGTTTCCACGTCATAATCATCAACTCATGATTCATCATTAGTTATGGCCCTTTGGAGCAAATTTGGGTCGCCGTGGACAGAGTCCAACAGTTTCTTCTTCCAAGTGAGAATCCGTTCAAAGAGATCTTCTTCTGTATTATTTTTATAGAGCAAAAAATGAGACTATCCGTTAGAGAAGTGTCCGCTGACGAAAGATGTCCGTTATGGGAGATTTCGTGTTTTTCTTGTGTATATTTTTGACTCATGTAGGTACTGTTTATTATTTGTTAGATAGATTATGTGAGATAAGTAATGTTTATGTTACAGCCAGCCTGTCGTAGTTATTTGTTCTTTTAACGTTGTCAATCAATCATTAGCAGTAGGTCAGTGTGCCACTCACTGTTATTAGAACGGCGTTTATTATGGCAGCACTTTGTGATATGATCTTAATGATCTTAATGAAGAGCGAATGTGAATACAATGTTAATGCAACAATCGAGATGTACAGCCATCGATATCCTCAGGGAAGACTTCCAAACCCACGAATCATTTTAAATGCGATATAGAAATTGCGAGAAACAGACAATGTGTACCCCACATTTGAGGACGTCGACGTATGAACTATAGTGCCTTTGTCGAAGACGAAATCCTCGAGTTCAAAAAAGACAATCCCCAAAGTAGTACATGCGAAATAGCAGGCTTCTCTCATGACAGTGTGTCGAATTTTAAAAAAGTTTTTGCTGCATCCTCATCCTAAATAAATTTTATTCAGAATAATAAAGTAGAATGTAGTAGGTAAATAAGTGTCCCTTTAATTTTTAGTACGCAAGACTTGTTTTAAACTGTATCAACCCGGTTTTCGCCATAAATGAATCGCGAAACTATAGAGCAAATGATTTAGACATTTTAAGCACCGACGCACTTCGCAAGAAGAACGCTAAAGGAAAGGACTTATAGAAATTCGCGTAAAAATGTGGAATTAACGTAAAAAGCATTTAGTAGTGGAAAATTACAGTCCAAGTTATTACGACGTTTGTAAACTTAAATTGACTTGCGAAAAATAACTTATAGGCATCCTTAAAAAATTTTGGACAGAGCCTAGACTGGAGATGTTTCCGGTTACGTAATCACTAAGAGACACTCTTTTTTCCTAACGTCTTTGTTTTTAATAAAAGTGCTTTAACATTTTGAGCAGTAGTCATAGTTAATGAGGCCCAGAAGTTTTTTCTAACACTGAGACAAATTTCCCCTAAAATTAATAGCAATAAATTTTAAATGATTCAAATTATTTTCTTCTGGAAGTTTCACATCATTGTAAATTCACATATTTTATTAAAGTGAATTTACTTTTGAATTCATTTTTACTACTACAGATAACCTTAAATTAATAAGGAAAAATTGTTGCTACTGTCACTTCTCGTAGCTTAGTGGTAGAGCAATAGTGCGTAAAGCGAGGGACCTGCGTTCGATTACTAGCAAGGGCGTGACGCAGCAACAATTTTTCCTCATTAACATGATGTTATCTGCAGTGGTAAAGATTAATTCAAAAATCAATTCTTCTTAAATTCCTATAGAATTCCAGCAGCCAGCAGCTATGTTTGGTATTCTCAATACTCGTGAGGTAGATATTTACGTAAGATCTAATTTTCTTCATTATTATTGGTTTCTTGGTGATCGATGTGATGGCATCCTCTTCATCATCATAAGGTCGTCAGTTCTAAGACTGGTTGTACATGCACCTACAGTCTTTCTTATACTGTGCTAATCTTTCATTTCCTTAAAACTAGAACATCCGACATCCTTAACTATTTGTGAAAAGTAATCTAATCTAGGTATATCTCTACCCCTCCTAACTCCCGTTTCTGCCTCTTATATGTACCGTCCGTGTTTCGCACCCGTATTGTAGCGAGCACGAGTGTATTTATGTGCGATCGAGTACACGTGTGCGTGAACGGCTTATCGATTTGCCGACTAGCCGCGGGCGCCTTTCTTCATGTGTGCCGTATTTGTAAATGTGTGTATCGTACCTGCGTTCTCGAAAAGCAGATAAACAGTTCAAAGAAAAAATAAACTATCCGGATGTTTCCAGGAGGTTCCAGAAAGTAAACAAAAGAGTATTTAAAGGAAGAGACGATCGCCGAAAAGAAGAAGAAATAAATTGACCGTTGCAGAAATGAATGGAGAAATAAATTGACAGTGACAGCAGTGAAATAAATAGCACAGTGAATAATGATATATCAACAGTAGTGTAAATAAATAGAATAATTCATAACCTAAGTTTAGTAATAATTTAATGGTGTTTTTAAGTTCTTTAATAATTAGTGTAAATAAATAGTTGTTATCGTTACCAGTCTTAGAAGTAAATTTTGTTAAACCCACGAACATTACAGTATAATTCCGTGTTCCAAACATGAACCTTTAACAATCTTTTTCGAATATCTAAGTTACCAATTTGCGAGCATAGAAGTGACTTCTTTTTATTGAAGGCGATTCTACCCTGCGCTATCCTCTGCTTTTTATCCCTACTACTCCTTCTCTCCTGACTTATCTGACTTCCTAGATACCTAAAATCGGTCACTCCTAATTTTTCGTCTCCTATCTTTATATTGGCTTTTTTTCTACTTCTTCTTGGCATCCTCTTAGGTTCTATTTTTAATAAATAACGGGTATTGAGTGTAGGTTTAAACCACTTTACTTGGAGAGATACAATTTAAGTATCATTCCCCTCTAAATGCTTTTACCCAAAGGTCTTCGTTAAATACTCTGTTACTTTTTGATAATGGAAATCGTGGTGTTTGCACTTTTTAGTTATTTGTTCGAGGCGGTTTCTTTTTTAGCAATTTATTTTTGTTCTTAAGATAGATTTTTATGAGACAATACAAATACCATCATAAACGTTTGCTTACGGTTGCTATCGTACAAACACACACTAATCCTTACAGTCCAATCACCGAAAATCGTACTTATGTAATAAAAAACTGTTTATGGTCACATTGGATCCGATATGAAAGCCTAGCTCTTCATTTTATTTTATTACGCTTTTTATGCTTTTACGGATATTTTTTATATCTAACTTTACCGTAGCATTTTTTGCAGATGCTCAAGTCTTGTAAAAAGCTGAGTATGACCGTTCGATCACCAGCGTTGCCCTTGGGATCATTAGACAATAAGGGTGGCTTTCGAACGACTAGGCAAACGTGTTCGTGGATTGATCGACAAGGTCGGCCTGTGTCACCTCCTATGGAATATTCCAGATCGGCAGGTACGCAACGATACGCGTATGGAAGGCCATCGAGTAAGGACAGGAGTATACGCAGGGTAAGCATAAAAATCTATTATTTTCCCTTAATCTTCAATAATTTGGAACAATTCAAGTTATTTTAATTGAAATAAAAAATCTATTACTTTGATTCGGCTCTGGAATTACCTTGAAATGACCTTTAGTACATAATATATTGTACCTATAATATGGCATGACGTAGAATATTACACGCTTTTAGAATCCGGAGTCAGAAATGGGGGTTTCTTTTTAAAAGAAATCGACTTAATCTTCAAATAACCTGAAATTTAAGGTCCTCACTCGATTTTCCTCGTAACTCTTGTCTAAACTATTTTTTTCCGTAGATATTTTCCTCTGAATTATTTAAGTGCTTCTCTTAAATAGGGCACCCTGTATAATTATTTAGTATTATTTTTAATTACTTTACCTGTACAAATTTCGAAATAAGTGTATATATCAATTGAAAATATTCTTTTAAAATCTTATATTTTTTTGGAAATGTAATATTCGGAAATGTTTAGTCGGGATTGGCCATCTTTTTATGCCACTATTTATTTTAGTTTTGGAATTCTAGAAATAATTTTGGAAGATTGACTAAATTCAAGTCGAAATAAAGGTTGTTACAATGGTCAACCCTAAGCGTATGATTTATTGACCAAATATGGAAAAAAACTGATTTTTGCTTGAGGTGTGCTAGATAATTTGGTTTTAGCATTTTTATATGGCATAATTATTAAAAATGTATAAATTCTTCATAAAAGATGACCTTCTTGTTTTACTCACCATGTGTAAAAAACTTCAACGGTAGCGGATTTTCCAAGAGTTTTAAGGGTAATCTGCCTTACTATTTATTTCATTTAACTTAAATCTTTCATACACAAGCTCTTTTCATAATGTTTTCGTTAAAATTTAGGTATATTTGGTATATCAAACGAAGGCTTAAGTGATAATTAGTTACATAATCTTGGTTTCATCATCATCATAGGGTCGTCAGTCCTAAGACTGGTTGGACACGTACCTCCACTTTTTCTTATCCTGAGTTAATATTCGCATTTCCCTAAAACTAGAACAGCCCACATCCTTAACTATTTGCGAACATTAATCTAATCTAGGTCTACCTCTACCCCTCCTAACTCCTGTTTCTGCCTCTAATATGTCTCTGACTAGACCTTCATGCCTGAGAAGGTGTCCTACCAACCTATCTCGCCTGTTTTTTATTTACTTCCATAGACTCCTATTTCTAACCTTTTCTACCCACGTTATCCTCATCATCCGCCTATAACACCACATTTCGAACGCTTCTAACCTTTTCTTTTCCGTCGCGCCCACTGTTCATGTTTCTTGGTTTATTTTGTAAAAAATAAAAATTAGCAGTAACAGTTAACTGACTTTTACTAGTTTGATTACTTAAGGAGTTTTCGGCCCTTATGTGGTTGCCATTCAGTAAGACTTGTTATAACAGAATCTCTCTTACTTGTGTTTTATATACATATGAATAATTACATTCACATACTACATACACGTCAGAAGATAATTTCAACTTTCACTTTTTAATACGTATTCAATATTTTAAAATGCCATTTCCTATTTATAGGGAAAAATAGCAATAACTTTTGCACAAGTAACGAACCGTGAAGTAAGGTGGAATTTGGATTATATATTTTTCAATCTGTTTTCAATAGAAGTGCTATTTTAAATATTCGCTGACAAATAGGAATACCAATCACCAATGTAAACGCATTAAACTTATATAAAAGACATTTTCGAAAGCGATTATCTTTTTTCAATAAAATTTTCAATTTTACATTGGTGAATGTAGGGAAAAACAAACTCGTAAATGGCGATATTTCTTTGCGAAGATTTATATTCATTCAATCTGAGATAATTGCCAAATTATAATGCATTAATTGTTGATTTTTCCTGTTTTCAACTTTAACGATTGAGGAATTGTTTCAAAGAAGTAAGAAAGAAATTGAAATTGTGAATGTGAATCAATTTTTTTCATACTTATTCATAAAAGATATACTTACCCATTAAGAACACACTTTTTAAGCTTAAATAAATAAGTACCTGATTAATTTTGGATTGTTTTTTGGATAAAAAATTGAAGTATTTGTCAGTACTGTGGGTTATAATTCTCTCGATAAATTCAAATGGAACGCCTACATTTAATAATGTTCTTTCAAGAATTCCTTGTATCTTTGTAAATCCATAACATACTGATCTATTCCATATCTCGAGACGGGGAGGAATACTGTATTAGTTAGATAAAGAACGTTAAGTTTTTGGTCAGAAATGTATCAATAGCGCCAGGTCTGGAACACGATCTTGAAGTAATTAGTTCTCATCAGCACAATTTAGATGTTCGAAGAGAATTTGATATTGGGTATTGATAGCCGCAGCCCAGGGTTGGTTGTTCTTCGGTGTGTTCGCGAATGGTGATGTTTATTCGACGTTTTGGTATGTATACATATGCCGTGGTTGAGACAAGCAATCAATCTGAAGATGTGTGTTCCGAGATTTTTGAGAACGTTGATTACGAGTTTGTTATCAGAATTACAGTCGCTCATTAAATTTTGTATATTTGTATTTTTTTACACTCTAGATATCATCTGAAAGTGATTTTACTTTTTGGTCTAAAATTAGTTATGTACCGAGTAACTAAAAATGTGTAGGAATTTATTGGAGATTGGAGGTATTCTTAAACCAACTTAATGGAAAAAAATTATCATCTAGAAACTTTGTTTTTAATTTTAGTCAGCTTATGTAGATTGCGTCAGCAGTGCTTTTTGTTTTCTTGTATCCCATCTGTGTTTCTCTTAGTACTTTCTTGTATTCTAATTTTCTCTCAAATCTTTTTCTAAGAATTTCACCGCGGATTTTGTAACACGTGCCCATTAGTGTTATTTTCCTGCAATTTTCTGCTTTATTTCTGTAAATTAACTTTATTATTCCTGCTTTTCATTAAGTTCTTCTTCATCTCCACTCCATATCTGATTTAATACTGTTCGTAAGTCATTATTTATTTACACTATTATTACGAATTTTAAACCACTATGATAGTCCAACTAAGCCTTTTTCAAATGACGCCTACCGTGAAAGCCTCGTCTGACCATAGATATTTTTGGTAAATTACTCACTAAACTGAATTTGTTTTGTGGGTGATTATGGACGATGAAGAAAAACTCTTTGTTGAAGAGAGAAGTAGAGAATTTATTTTACAGAAAATGAAGATGAGTAAAAGAGAATAGCGGAAAGTCGGTAGATGTTAACATGAAGAATGGCTGAGAGAGACTCCTCTTTGAGGGTGCAGAAATTATGTAACGAAGTGAAAAGTGAATATGCCCATGTGTTTTTATTTTAGGGTACAGCTCTTGAAAAGAAGGAACCGTCGACTTTCGTTCTCAGAATTTTCTGTCGATCGGTTTTTGTTAGTATGAAATAGGATACTTTATGTGGGTTAGGTATAGATACATTCAAAAGGCAGGAAGTCAGATCCAGAAAAGAAACTGTTAACATGCTGTTAGTAGAAAGGCAGTTCGTTAGAATATTTACAAGTTGAAAAAAAGCAGAAGTTATATATATACAGAGTGTTACATATTATTTACAATGATTATGATGATATATCTACAAAACAAAAGACTAAAATACATAGTGTAATAGGCGAGGGTCGCCACAGTTTCCCATAGGTAAATTGATTAGTACCAAGTAACTTGCAGTATATCCTCAACTGCAGATGTTTACTGGAATACAGTAGTTAGCAGTAAAAATCTGCAGGTGGTGATACAATACCCAGTTACTTGATATGAATCATTAATTTTTCGCACAGTAGTCAAATGCGTTTATTAATCTGTGACCGAGCGGCATGGCCTAGAGGTCTAGACCATTGTTTAGAATTTGGGGGCCCAAGTTTTTCTGTGGTTTCCTTAGATCACTCAGGCAAATGTTCCAAATCCATTTCATCTTTCTCACCTGAACTACCATCCATCAATTCCCATGATTCCTGAAAGGAGGCTGAAGAGGGCCTTCCGCCGTATCTTCCAGCGTAGTCCGGAGAGACTTCCCGGTCACCAGTATAAGTGGCTGGTGGGAATGAAACATCCAAAAGTTTTTTTTATTAATCTGTTGTAGAAATTGAATCAGAGGGCTGTTAAAAGTATCTTTATATGTTTCTACAGTCAGTGTGCGAGAATAAAAGAAAAAAAGCCTGCAATTAAATGGATACCAATACGAAATTCGATTGTTTTCTCCCTGACCTAGTTTTCTGGATCCAAAGCAACTGAGTTTTAATATACTCCATTTCTGGCATTATACTTGTTTTACTGATAAAACATTTTGACCGGTTGTTCGTGTTTATTAGCGGTAAATAGTAACTATAAAGCAGTAATATGAAAGTGTTGGTATGCATAATATTGAATGCGGAGTAATATACATCTTTGGTACTTAATATACGTATAATGTAACATTTTATTGTATGTGCCTATAATAATAACAAAACAAACGTCTGTGATATAATAGTACGAACGCCTCGTAAAAATGAATGGCCATATTGCCTAATAATAATAACTACAGAGAATTACAGAATTATTGTAATACAAAAACTTATGTAACTGTGATAAAATGTTATAGAGAATCAATTACTAATGCACGTTTGGTTTAAGTTATTAACTTAGTGGTGAGCTTTAATTTAACTGACAAATGGGAAATAAAACATCACAAAAAAATAATGAGAAATTCCATGATAGTAAATCTCTTTAAAATGATATTCTTATTTTGCAATAAAAACATCTAATTATCTTTTTGGAAAGAAGGTGTCTTTTTTTGAAAAATTAAATAATCGTTAAATTGGTGAATCATTTCATTTGGTTTTTTGCAACATTTTTCGATGTATTGGAATCTGTGCGGATTTGCCAATAAGCAGTATAGACCGCGTCTTAGGGGCGGCAGATTTTAGAGTGACAGAAAAAGCTCTGTTTCTCGTGCTATGTTATCCCAAAGATTTAGAGGTCGACTTGTTCGGAAATGTATACATTTTCTA